AAGTTTTCAAAAAAAAAAAAAAAAAAAAAAAAAACCAGAAGGAAAACAAGTAAAAAATAAAAAGAGGAAGAAAAGGGTGTTCAAGGATGAAGCTGGTCGTTGTCGTATCCTTCATGCTCCTGATCTCACTGTGTTCTTTATCTTCAGGTAACATATATTAGTTCGATATTTTTAATTATTCAGATAATCTATTATAATTTCAAACTGTGTTTTTGTTGGGTATTTTTGTGAACCTTGTAAAATAAATTTAGAACCATATGTTTTTATTCATAGGTGAACCTTGTAGTAGTTATGGGGTTGATCATTTCATGGCGTTTGTGGTAACATATCTTGAAAAAAAAAATCAAGTTTGGATGGATGTTTTTATCGCGGATTCAAATCCAAGTATGGAGAGGGGCGTTCACCTGAAATTCTCTAGTCTTCTATGAGATGTAGTCGGATAAAAAATCTGATGAATAAAAAATCTGATGAATATACGTGAAAAAATCTTTTTGGTTTCTTATTTATATTTTTTACACATTCGAAAATATATTTTATATATTCTTCTCATATCTATAAATGAAATTTGTTTTTTTAAGCACATATGTATTTAGACATTCAGTCGTACTAATACTTAAAATATGTATTTGATAATATCTAGTTTCGTCAGTTATTTATATAAATTAATGGCCGAATTCATTTTTTAGATCCAATACATATCTTACTTATGGAAACAAATAAGTTTATAAACAGGATTCTTTACCAAAAAAAAGAGGAAGAAATCGCAAGATAGATGAGGTAAAGAATACAAGTGATGCGTATCCGCGTACATAGTGAAATTTGAGCAGTCCAGTAGACTAATTAAAAAAATAGTATAAAATAATTTCTGCAGAAGTGTCTCGAGATTTTTTTTTCCGATCAATTGGTTGAGCTTTAGAAACTAAACAATAATCATTTCTATGTATTTAACGATCTTGATTCGATATGTTAGTCATTATTGTTCGTAAATCGATTTTTTTTTTTGTTTTTTGCAATAGCTTATATCTTTATATCTCATCGTACTCTATTAGGGTTTGACGAAGTTAATAACCATCTCGACGACGCCCAGTACAAGGTAATTGATTTGTCCATATTTTATAAAATTATTACAATCTCTGTTAAGATTTAAATCGTTTTATACAAAAATATGCAAATAATATCCGGTAGAAGAAAAATATCAGTTAGGTTAATACAATACACGCATGTATATATATTTTTTTTACTGTATCAATCAATAGAAACTACAGTAGACAGATTTTGATATTTTATAATAAATATTATTGTTGAAAATAGGTTGATGACATTGATACGTATGTGGGAATACATGACTACCCGGAGCCAGGTGCAAGCTGTAAACACGACCCAATCCACCCATGTCCTCCGCCGCCGCCGCAACAGCTCCACCACCGCTAGCACCCAACAACAAATGTCTCATCACTTGGGCTCATCCTATCATAGCCTATATATATACTATCTAATATAATGAAATCATATATGGGTTTATATATATAATATAATGAAATAAATTATGGGTTTGATTCCTTGTAATCTCATTCACTAATATCATGAACAAATCCATAAATCAGAAAGGTCCAAACACTCTTTGGTGCCCAAAAAAAACTACAACCAGAAAATCTACAGAGTATTTGCTTGGTTTGGTTATAAGGATTTCACAACAACAAATGCGTAACATACCTCACGTGAATTCCTCCTTCAAATAACCGGGACCGGGTTTGAAAGGATCGGTTTCTACATAACCTTCGGGTCGATAAAAACCGAGATCGTTCACGCGGTTACTAAGGACGTGAAAAATGGCCTTTTTGGTACCTCCATATTCGTCCCGGTTTCTTTCCACATACTCTGTGGCCTCGGCTGCTACGCTGTTCACAAACTCAAACCTGTTATCTTCACTCAATAGTAGCCGCTCTATGTCCATCGTCACCACCTTCCCAACATCTCTCAACTTCCTCACTTGCTCTTCCAAGAACGGTACCCTTTGCATTTTGTAGCGCACCATGTCGTCCTTCTTCGTCTGGACACGAGAACAAGACATAAAGATTAAAGGGTCAAGGAACAGCGAGTTCCAAACAGATTCAAGAATCCTCATCTGTTATCATGTTATTATGATGAGGCGATGTAAGAGATTGAAAGGCCTTAAAAACAATCAGCATCAAAGCAATTAAGACTCTCACTCATATGAACCCGTTCCAGGAGAATCAATGCGTTTTGGTGTAAAAAAGAAACATTTCTGGCTGAACATTGTTTCTTTCAAGAGTAAGCAACAGACACCTATGAGAAACATGATACAGACACAGCTATAAGAAACTTCAAAGCTAAATTCTACCCGGAATCTGCCATAATTTGATAACTGTGAAAAACTTGGACAAAGTAACAATGAAACAAGGATCACGAACAGAAGAATGACAAGGCTGAATCTGAAATAAGCCATGAATCCTCTAGGAAACTCTTGAAAAACAGGAGACTAGCGATATAGAGGCTAATATGCCAAAGGAGACTTGCTAAGAACAGTGCATCTAGTTATGTTAGCGATTTCAGAGCAAGAAATATCAAAGTTAAGCACCGATTTTGATTCACACACCATACATCTATAGTTCCAATCTATCATCCGAATCCCAATTTATCACAGACGAATGGATATGCGACGGACGAAAACCAAAAATTATAATCTAATTCAAATAGCAATTCCTCACCAATTTTCTCCTCCGCCAAACACGGCGTCCATTTTCATCCCTCTGAATCCGACAAGAAACCTGAGAATCAATCACAATCAACCAACTTCTTCGGGAAAACCCCAATTCGAACCAATAACTCAACCACGCATAACCTGCGACGCGAAACTGCAGCTTGGAGGTCGCACGTTCCCGCTTCTCACATCCGTAATCTGCAAATACAAAGTCGACGTTCATTTAAACCCTAATTAAATAGAAAATAATTTAGTATCTCGACATGGTTGCCGGTCGAGCAATCTCAGCAAATTTAACGATGCAAATGTGAGAAAGAGCTCACATAACGGATACTGTTCTTTAGTTTCCCAGAACATTTTCTCGGGAACCAAATGGAAAAAAAAAATCAGAGAAAAGAGAGGGAATTACAGTTGAAAGGGAAGACGCAAGAGAACAGGTGAACGTCGCCATGGCTAAAGCAAACTAGAGAGATAAAATCGGCCTCTTCTATTATATACAACCGGTTGGTACTGCTGTTTCAATTTTCGGTTCGACCGGTCCTTGTCCGGTCCGATTCATCACAAAACCAGCAGATTAGTTGGTTTGGTACAAAACCAGAACTTAAATTTTGGTCTTATTTTCCGTGATTCTAATTGTTAACTGGGAACCGAAGCCTCAAATTAAATCCGGTTCATCAAAACCTACATGACACTATGTTCAGACCGAATTAAAAAATTTCCGGTTAAAACAGTTCTGGTTTTACTGTATATGATTCAATGATTCAATGCTTGCATTCTTGAGATTTTACGAGAATAAATTGTAATTTTGCATTGACATTTAACATCGGTTCTGTATTTGAACTTTTCATAAAAAAAAATATAGATATATATATATATATATATATGAGAATGATAGATAACAATGGAAAACAGAAGAAATTTTCCCGGTTCTGCATACCGGTGGTTAACCAGTTCAAAAACAAACCGGGTTTTCTAATTAGTACTCGTCCAAGTAATTGTATAACATGTCGTCCTTCTTGGTTTTGCGTCGGCTAAGCAAAGCCTTGAGGAGTCTTTTGCCCTTGCTTGGTTGCTGTTCTGTTTCTTTCTTGTGTTCTTTCTCGAACGTTATCCGAACCGAAGCTGATCTTCTTGGTTCCGATGGATACTGAACAGGAAAGAAAAGACGCGTCACTTTAACACAAAAATGTACTTGTTCATGTTTCCCAGATAGAAAAACCTCTACTTATGAGATGCTTTTACCCGTTTCGGAGTTATCGATCTGCTCTTGCTCGGGGTCGTTGGGCGGCTAATGGACGATGTACGGATAGCAACTGATCCTGATCTTAGAAGTGGAAACCGATGTGGTGAAACCGTCCGGTTCTTATCTGATTCCGAGTGCAAATGCAGAAGAAACATATACCCGGAAAAGGTATCAAATACATGCTCTATGAGAAACAAACAGCTTATAATATCGCTGATTCACCTTGTTGTGTCTTTGGCACGGTGGAAGTGAAGGAAAACGTTGCTGATCGTTGAGGTTGACGAGGAGATGGAGTCTGAGATGTTGGTTTTCCGCTACCATAAAATTGTTAAGGCTTTTAATGATTTTCGTTAAACCAGCAAACACACCTACCCAAAAACATATGGACTTGAACGGGAAAATACACATGAAACGAAACCCGCTTTCAAGAACCATGTCAAAGCTCGTCTTCAAGGTGAGATTTGATTTTCAGAGCGATGGATTCTGTAATTTACCTAACAGGAGGTGGAGGCGGAGGCGGAGACGTCTCCTGAATCGTAGCACGGACAGCTGAAGGCAAGAAATGGATCGAAAGGAAAATCTGGGTTACCATAAAATTGTAAACCTTTAACAAGTAATGAAATTGTAAGGGCCAGAAAAACGAAACATACCATTCCGAAGTTGGTTCCAGTCATCTTCATCGTCCAAACTGCATCCGGCATACTTAAGCTTCGAAAGGCTGTCACCGGTCACCATTTCGCCCGCTGATATAAAATTCCTTGATCAGAGTTTCGGAAAAATACAGAAAGTTTCTTCAAGGCCAGGAAACGGAAGAAGAGAAAATTACCGGGCAATATGTATCGCTTATGGAACTTTGGAGCGTTGATCATAAGCGACTGCTGTGAACGGCCTTCGTGATCCATGAACTCCTGGCTTTTACGTAGCCTCTATCATTCCACGATGGTTTTAAGGAAAATCTCTAAGTGAGAAAAATGAATCCAGTAACGTAAAAAACACGCGAAAACCTACACAGAAATTGCATGTTTGAGTTTGAACCAGAATACACAAGCATTAACACTTGAATAAGACTGTCTCCTGACAAGAAAATACAGGAAAAACTGAGTAGAATCATGGATGGAATCTGAACTCAGAAGCAGATGCATTGGCATATCTTGGAACTCGGGTTCTTCATGGGCATACTGGAAACCGATCTTCTAAGCAGTTAGAATATACACATTTTATGTTTATGTAACTACGAATAACTATGAACATGATGAGAGAATCAATCTAATAAAGCAGGAATCAAGCACCTTATTGGTAACAAACTGGAATCGATCTTGCGGAATCTATGAATGCATGATGTTTCAAGGAAAACTGAGCACCTGTTCGATGCAAGATACACGCAATGCGGTCCCTGACACTTCATCAACCTTTTCATCAAGAAAGTCGCTGACTTTATATGTAACAGAGCCCAGATGATCAACTGTATTGACCAGAGCCTTTATGGCATAATCTTTCAGTGTCTCCACAACACTGCATAGACACGTGATCTCAAATGCTAAAAACAGAAAACGTTTCGGAATGGGGACAAACGCTTAAAAACACTCACTCACATCTGTTTTTGTTCATCGTTCGTGTAGGACAATTCAAAGTACTCAGCTGCTGAGTATAACTGCGCCTTCAAATTCTTCAGATCCTGAAAATTACAGCAAAATGGTTTTTTTCCAATTCTTTTCCTGAGATGTGATCAAATCTTTAAATGCATGACGAATGAGAGTTTCGATATTTTTTACTCCATTCATGCAAAGAACACAAACAGATAACCAAAGAAAAAAGACTATGATTGTTGGATTATGCAACTAAAAGGATCTACCTTGAGACTGTCAGAGAAGAGCAAGCTCTGCTGCATGGAGACCTCGTCGTAATTCGACGACTCTCGGGATACGGGCAGTGTAGCAACGGCACTCATTTCTGTTCAGATCAGGAGAGACAGAGCTCCAAACCCTAGAGTCTCCTTGTGGCTGCAAATCAAGAGGTAAATGTTGACCCAACTGATCTTATTCATCTAAACTTTCCATCCCCTCAATTGGATAAACAGAAAAGAAGTCGTACAAATGAAAACATCAGAAAATACGGACAGTGACTGTAAACTCTTCCGTAGAAACATCTTGAACATGACACTAAGCACTGTTGTTACCATTACAGAAGTATGACAACAATGGCATCAAAGGCAAAGAATTAAGACTCTTCAAGAACAAGGCTTTTCGTTACTCTATACACTCTTCTGCTGCAGTTTACAGAGAGTTATCCCAAGTTGCTACCGGTAAAATGAAAGGTCTAAGTACACCTACACAATTTTCTGTTAGATCCCTTTGGAGGAAAACCCTTTTATCCCAGTTCCAGTCAGCCCAAATTGATCTCAGATTCGATAACACCGCCTTGGAAATGTAACCGAGTGTCCGTTTTGGACCGCAGATCTCTCTTTTGGAACATGTTTTCTGTTTTTTTTTAAAAAAAAATAGTTCTATCAAATTGGAACATGAGATCCTCTGATTCTGAAATGATTTTAAGTAGGAGGAACGAGTTCACAAATCTGACAAAAGAAGAAGCAGACAAGAAGTAGAATCCACAGCTCTTATCTCAAAGCGACCAACAGTACTATGATGATATCTGAAACGACCAGGCTTTTGTCTGAATCTTCAGCAATACTCTAACAAACAAAGCTCTTTGAATGGAAACAATGGAAGAACACTAAAACCCTTTTTAAATAGCTTGCAATTTACTTTTTTTTTTAAATAAATAGGGGCAAAAATCAATCCAATTTGGAGGGAGCAATTTCAACCCAAGCCAGATTTTGGTTTCATTCTCCATAAGCCCCAACCAATAGATTCGTCCAAAAGTTTCAGACATAAAGGGACAAACTGCTGGGTACAAGAAATACGCAAGATTAAAAAAAAAAGTTTAACCTGTGAATTAGTACGCTAATACGATTTGTCTTGTACCTCCTGCTGCTTTGCTCGGAGAACAGAGATTTTCAAAACCCAGTCTCTGATACAATTTCATCGGCTAGAACCAGAAATGGCGATCGAAGACGACGAACGAAGAAACATGGAAATTGGAGAGATGTCAGGATTAAAATGTAGTGATTTCATTTTTTTTAAATGGAGTAACGTTATATACTCCCAAGACGTCTAACTAAATAGCTTCCTAACGAACGTGTTATTTTATTTTATTTTATTTTATTATATTATTGTCGATTTAACTCTAAATCATCATCTCTAAACCCTAGTCATTAAAACTGATTCTAAATCATAAATTCTCAACGAAATTTAAATCGTAAATTATATACTATAAATTCTATATGTAATGTTTAAAATTTAGGATTTTAAATTTTAAATTTGGTTTCGTGTTTAGAATTTAAAATTTAGGTTTAAGAATTTACAACTGAATGTTTGATGTTTAGCTTGGAATTAAACTATGAGTTTCAAAGTTAGAAAAAAAATGAAAATAATTTCCAAATGATGTAATAAAATTATTAAGAAAATATTTTATGCAAGAGATTTATGAAGATATAGCTTTAGTCATAAAACTGACCAATGCGGTTGTTTGGTATCCGAAAGGACAACAATCCCACTGACTTCTCACTTTTTTCCATCATTTGCGGAGAAACGCTCGGTCCTCCGTTTTTTTTTTTTCACCTTATCTATTAATTAAATAAAATCTAAAATGGGAATTTCACAAAATGATAATACGTACTCCAATGCACGTTTATTAAATGAAAAAAATGTCCATTTATCTTTTTTTTTTGTAAATCTTTTTGTCCATAATTCTACAAAATTTCTTAAATAACATGCGTTAAATATGAATGCCGATTTCTAAATATTTATATAATTTGGAGAATCTGTATATTTTATACTCGTTAAATAATATTTATAAAACTCACATTATTTGCATTGTCACACTAACGTTATAGATAAATATACGTAGATACTAATATAACAAGTAGAAGGATCCTGTCGTGCGTGCTTGAGTGAGAAGAACACTGAAGGGATATGTAATGATTCAACAGAAGCACGTCCATAGACAACCATCGAATTTATCTTTTTTTAATTATATTTTTACCACACGCAATGATTTAAGTATTATTTTATTGCAGATGCATTTTGTAACACATCCGCGATATATATACAATATATATAATGTAGTACTACACTATATAAACAAACTAATGATATATTTAATAATCAAAATAATTATATTTCAAATTATCAATTTATTATACAAAATTTCGTCGTGATTAGCCACCATTAATGGCGATAAAGAGAGATGGACAAACCATGTGTTGTGATACAATTTGGTACCAAGTAATTTTCTCTATCGTCCGTACAAAAAGGATTAATGTCAAAGAAAATAATGACTGACTTCCACTCGTCCCGGAAGTTCCAAGTTATAGCAACAAATTAAAATAAAAAATCAAATTTAAAAAGATAAAAACTTTTATATTTTTTTTATTTTTTATCTTCTAACTATGGCAGACAAAAACAAAACGGTCAAGGGACTAATTCACGATACATCGTGGACGGAGACGCGTTAGTCCGTATTGGATTGAAAAAATCACTTGGATTTCCATTTAGGTATATTTGTACATAAACAAATCATATATTATCATATTCAAATTGAATCAAATTAATATGATTACTTGGGAATGTGTCATTAGAAATGACTTAAAATTGTTGTAAATTTTAAAAAAAAAATTAATTCAAAACCAAAATGAATAAAAACGAAAAATTTATATGATCGACTCCAAATACATTAGGATTAGAAAGATGTTGATGTTGATAAAAATCAATCTAAAATCGAATAGGAAGTCCATGAAATCCAGTTTAAAATCTTCAAATAAATCAATGTGTCAAAGAAATAATAGGAACAAAAGTGTATTTTTTCGTGCATTTTTCTGATATATTGAAAAAAAATATACAAAATAAATATCTTCAAATTAACAAAAAAATATGATCTACAAAGCATTTTGTTTCGAAATTATAATACATTTTAAGTTTTGTAAAAAAATTTACAAAATTTGCCCAAACTTTTAACTCGTTCTGAAAGACCCTCACTGGAATAACAGATTTTTCCAGAACTTTTAATTTTTATCACCAAACCCCAATTCATTTTTTTTTTAAATTTTCGTTCGTTATAAGGGAAGTCTAACACTGAAGCTCAGATATGACGGAAGATCAGAATTCGAATTGATTGGTTATTGTGACTCTGACTACGCAACTGATCTTGACAAGAGAAGATCAATAACCGGTTATGTGTTTACCTTGGGAGGAAATGTGATAAGCTGGAGATCTGGTCTACAACATGTGGTAGCCTTGTCAACTACTGAAGCATAGTACATGGCGTTGGCTGAGGCATTTAAGGAAGCACTTTGGCTCAGAGGGTTATCTCAAGAACTTGGAGTTCAGCAGAAGACCGTCAAAGTGTTTTGTGACTCTCAATCAGCAATCTGTCTGGCAAAGAATAGTGTGCACCATGAGAGGACCAAGCACATAGATGTGAGGCTGCATTTCCTAAGAGAGATCATATATGAGAACAAAGTGCAAGTATTGAAGATAGCTACAGAGGACAATCCAGCCGATATTTTAACCAAACCACTCCCTGTCGGCAAGTTCAAACGAGCTTTGGACTTGCTGAAACTGACCGACAAATAAGTCGAAAACCACCCTGTCAAGGGGTATATAAAATGATTTGGATAATGCACTGGTAGAAGAAAGAAAGAGCGTGAGACAGGAGAGGGATACAGGCAAGGTGAAGTTTGTTGTGAACGCCTATATCTGGAAACTATCGGTCTCACGTAGATGGTCTCTTGTTAGTGAGTCAACAGACGACGCAGCCAATATGGGAAGTTTGCATCAACCGTTAGAGAATGCAGAACATATGGAGATCATATCACAAGTTTCCCTTTCTCAATAATACGTATATTATTGTATCCTGAAATATCATTCTTTCCATATTTCGTTTCTAGGTTGTCTATGTATATATTATGTACAATCGGCATACATTGAAAATGAGAGTGAAATACGTTTTCTTCTAAGTTTTCTACATGGTATCCAGAGCTCTCTCTAGGGCCTGATATCTCTCTCTATTTACTTCTATACTTCCGCTGTCTCTTACAGATCTCTATCTTGTGTTTTTTTTCCGGAACATCATGGATATCACCATGAAACCAATTCCGATAACACTCAATGGCGACAATTATTTTTATTGGAGCAAAGCAGCGAAAGCAATGCTCAGCAGCCGCGGATTGTGGAACCATATTGTTCCAAAACAAGCATCAACCCCAACCCTTCCTGTTCGTGCTGCAGAAAGTGATGCTTCAGACAATTCCGCTGAAACCAACGCTGATGGCCAACCAAATCTGCCTCGTCCAGATCCGCCACAGCACTTACCTGTCACAGACTCAGAGAAATGGTACCAAGATGACCAATTGGCTCTGGTCATTCTTCAAGGTTCACTGGAAAAGAATTTCTGCAGTCTTTTATTGCTCTTGACTCGGCAAAAGCATTATGGGAAGCTCTCAAGAACACCTATGGGAACATTTCCAACATAAGCCGAATTTTTGAGATAAAAAAGAAGATCTCCGAACTCCAGCAGAATGGTGAGCCTTTCACTGCTGTTCAGGGTGAATTTTGTGCCCTGTGGAATGAACTCGACGAAATTCGCCCCCCTTCAACTGATCAAAAGGTTCTGAATACAAGGCATGAAGAAGACAAAGTGTTTTCCCTGCTCCTCACTTTGGATGCAAGATATAACGACCTTGTTTATCATCTTCTCCGCCAAGCAACTCTCCCGAAATTTGATGAGGTGGTGGCAGAAATTTTTTTGCAGGAAATACAGAAATGGCGCATTTCTCTCGCAAGCAAGCAGGATGAATCAATTTCTCAGCCCAACAAATTTCCGCTTACGCCGAAAGGATCTCGTGACAAACGACCGTTCTGCGATTACTGCAAAAAGACAGGACACACCAAAGAACGCTGTTGGATTCTTAGTCCACATCTGAAGCCGAATCGATACAAAGAAAACCCACCACGGCGAGGTTCTGCTATGACAGCTAGCAACACTGTCACCTTTACTGATGAAGAAATGTCGGGCTTTAAGCAGTTCTTGTTGTCCATGAACAACAAAGACTCCGGTAACTTTTCTGCTTCTCCTATTTTATTCGATCTTTTAATTGTGATTGATTCAGGAGCTTCGGCACATATGTTCAGTGACAAACATCTGTTTACTGAACTTCATCGATCCTATGGTTTCGTATCAGTGGCGGATGGTAAGGCCTGTCCTATTCAAGGCCATGGAAAAGTCAAGCTTTTTGGCAAAAGTCTTAGTGCCTTATTTGTACCAGACTTCAAAAATAATCTGCTGTCTATTCCAAAATTAATTTCTGAAACGCAATGTCGAGTTCTCTTTGATACTAATGGGGTTATTTTTCAGGATATTGAAACCGATGTCATCTTCGGAAAAGGACTTAAGCGAGCCAATCTTTACTATCTACACACAAGGGAATCCCTCCCCCACAACTAAAGGTCTACTCCACATTCAAGAGAAGAAAACAAGAAACAAAATAAAACATGAAGAGTAAGAGAGAGAAAGCTTAATATGGTCTTCAATGGTGGATTCTCTCTCCTCTCCTCCTTCTCCAAGCTTTCCCCCTCTCCAAGGATGGCTCCCCTCCAAAGTGGCTAAAAAATTCCCCTTTTTTCTTCCCTCCTTCTTCTTTTATGATAGAAACCGTAGGGCTTTCTCCTTTTCACTTTGTGGGCTTGAAAATAGCCCAAACCCCTCAATAATTTCTTTCAGGCATTTTTGG